CACCATCTTTCTGATTCCAGATTTAAATCCTCATTGTTATCTATTTTACTTTCTGAAAACACAAGCTGTGACGTAGGTTGGAAGCTCCGTGAATAACTGATCACGAGAAGGAAATAAATCTGCCGTGGGTGCATTCCTGAAGTCTGCATGTGCAGCCGGTTCCAGTTCACTGTGAAGGAGGTCAGCTTCACCGTCTTCTTCTTCACAGTGTTAAATTGAGGCGGCGTCGTTTTGGTGGGGGGTTTCCCAGGCAGGGCTGGGGGGTCGAGGTTCAGGTTTCAGGAGAGAAGATGAATCCTGAGGATCTGCAGAACAGTGTTTCTTTGTGAGCCGGACTCTGCGGTCCGCCTGGTCCAGTACCACCCCGACCAGTCTGGAGACATTCAAGCTGCTCTCACTGACATCTGACCCGTGAAAACAGCTTCCATCAGGACTGCTGCCGAGTGGGTCAGTGTGTTAAACATGATCCACATGCTGAGCCTCAGAGACCCGAGCGGCCCTGATACAGAATCCACAGAGATCCCGACTGCACAGACACACCGACACCAACAGGAACTATAGATGGAAGCTAACTTGAATGCTCAAGTCCTCACCGTAACAGGATGATTCTGGTGTCCACAGAAAGTATTCATCCACCTGGACGTTTTACCTGTTCATTGCTTTTCTGAACCACGGTCAGTTCAATTCAGCTGCTGGACAACAACTTACACACAGAATCTCTGATGTCAAAGTGAAAACAGACTTCTAGAAAAGAATACACAATAAGTGACAGCATAAGTATTCACCTCCTTCACTCAGTATATAGTAGATGCACCTTTAGCTGCAGCTTCACCTCCTTGTACTGATGGAACTGTTCAGACTGTCAGGTTCCACAGGGATCATGAGTGAACAGAACTTTTCAGGTCCAGACTCCAATTCTCAGCTGGACTGAGGTCTGGACTCTGACTGGGCCTCCAGAACTTCACCTTGTCTTCAAAACATTTCTGTGGAGCTTTGGCTGTTTGCTTCGGCTCATTGTCTTGATGGAAAACAAGTCTTCTCCACGTCTCAGTTCTCCTGCAGACTGCATCAGGTTGTCCTCCAGGATTTCTCTACACTCTGCTGCATTCATTCACCCTCGACCTGTACAAGCCTTCCAGGCTGCTGCTGAGGAGATCCCCACATCATGACGCCGCCACCACCGTGCTTCATCATGACGCCGCCACCACCTTGAACTATGAACAGTCTCTCCCATGTCAGCTGCTGTAGCTTATAACTCCTTCAGGAATCACAAGTGTCTATGACTCCTCTGAAAATTAGGGCTGGTCTGAATAACAAGTTCTGATTTTCGGACATTCGGTACCAATTAATGACGAATATCCCGAATATCATGTGGTGGTGGCGAGTGACTATTTCCGACGAGGGGGGGGGTTGCGCATTGAGGCTCCGACGGGCTGCAGGGGGCTACTGAGACCAGCTTCTGTGTTTGGGTTATCGGTGACGGCTCTGTTTCCGTGGCGGTGGTGGGGATGTTCGGAGATCAAGTTTGATATCCCGATTCCAGCACAGCGAACGAATGGTGGCTACTCGGGTCCAGCCCTACTGAAAATAACTTACTTTTCTTTTTCTTGCTGGAGTTCTTGGAGTGTTATCTTCTTGTCAAATTCAAAAAAAAAATAGCATGGTTCACTGTTGAAAAGCAGTGAAAGAAAAACTGCTTTTTATAGGCACCATAGAAGAAGAACTCGTCCTGTGTTTGACTACTCACAGTCTAGTTTCCTGACGACAGACGGCACCTGAACGCTCCCTGAGTGTTGTTCTGAGCTGCTGTTATGAGTGTAACCTCATCAGAGCCTCCATCCGTCAGTACGAGGCTATTATCCAACATTCCTGCAGCCCCTCCGTCTCCTCACCCAGCAGCCCCTGGACGAGTCCAAACATCTCTGATTTACAGTGTCAGAGGAAGAGCCTGAACATGTCGTCCTCTTCTGTTTGTAAGAGGTTAAATCACTTTGTAGTTCTGATCCACTTTCTCCTCCTGCAGCAGTGGAAAACACTCACAGAGCTGCTGCAGACTGCTGCTGTTTCATCACAGCAGCTGTTTACAGTCTAAACTGAATCAGTGATGTTTCCTCAAAGTGAAACCAAACTCTGACAAACAGACCCTGTGTCATCAATGATCAGCTGGTAAAAGCAGAAAGCCTCGTAGCAGCCTCCTCATGTGACCCTGCAGGTATGTGGGCCACAACACCGCTGATGAGAAACTGACACCAGGTTCTGGTTTATATCACTAAACTGAATTTACAGTCGGTGCAGAACATGAACTATGATGCAGTGTATTCTGTTGATCACTGCTAACTGTACACGGTTCGGCTCCACCTGACATCTCTGGACCTGAACATCTCATCCTGCCGTGAAGCTGTGACTCAGTAACTCACTGCTGCTTCTCTTCACATCCTCCACCGGTGACAGACCACTTCAACATTCAGACGATGTTTTTATCTTCTCTCATACTATTCCATAACTTATTGTTTCTCTAAATTGTCTTGGACGTTCTGTAAAAAACACCATCTTGTCTCAAATATTTTATCTGTTTATGCTGCTTGTCTGTGGTCGTATTTACACATTGAATGTGTTTTCATCATTTGTCTGCTCTGACGTTTGTTGTACCCTGAAGCCCTTTGTAACTCTGTTTTCCCAATGAATGAAGTAGGTATGACTCGTGTTCCTGATGTGTATGTTCAGTCCGGTATCAGCACTGCGTCCTCATCAGACTCTGAGATGTGACGTCAGTCCTCCAGCAGAGCGCCTGCTGAAGGTCAGCGAGGAGGTGAAACACAATAAAGCAGCCAGTCAGAGGTCATTCATAAAGCAGCAGCAGCAGCATTAACCTGATGAGGTGCAGGCGAAGGCTTACAGCAGGCTGGTGTCTCTGAAGCCTCAGCCATCAGTCAGCTGCAGAAACATCTCAACGGTGTAACAACAATTTACTGTTAATTTACAGATGCTCTGCTTTGGTAAATTACAGATCGTATCTTGTAAAATCACAAAAAAGGTTCTGAATTGAATGAAGTAATAAACTGAAGAAAAAAAAATGTCCAGAGCTGTAGATTACTCCATAAAGATCCTTATGACTACAAATAGTCGCTGGTCTTTGACAATGAGTGACCGTAACAGACTGTTCTACTGCGTTCAACTATAAATATCATCATCATACAGATATCTGCCGTTGTGCTCACTTCTTACACGTCTAAACGTGACAGATTCCAACGTTTCACCCGTTTTCCGGCACCCTTTGTGCTAAATTGTCCACACATGGAGGACGACGACGAACAGCCGAAGCTCGACTTCATCACAAAGCTAAACTGACGACAACAGCTGATCCACAACAGAGACAGGAAGTCATCTGCAGTCACTGGGATCACAGACTCACGGTCTGAGTTCCATCAGCTCTCAGCTGAGCAGGTTTTCACTGTTTACTCAGATCACATAGCTGCAGATTAAACAGCTCAAATGTTGGTAAAAACTCTCTGAAGATGTCAGATTGATGTGGATCATATCCAGCTAGTCAGTAAGTGTTTTAGAGTCTCACTGGTTCTCAGTCAGAGCAAAGCCACGAGCAGCCTGCAGACACACACCACTACATTCATCCATCCACATTAGGAACAGCTTCACCATTTCAGTGACTCCATTCAGATACGACTGAACAAAAGGAACCAGGGACCTCTGAGTCACCGACACCACGAGCTGAGTTCTGGTTCTGTTTCGACACTCCAACATGTCTGAGCTCGAGTCCCTGACCAACACGTCACCTTCACATCAACACACCCAACCACACGCCGTCTCCGTGGAAACGCTTCATCCTGCTCAGGTGTGTGCGTGTGAGTCACACTGACGGAACAACAGCCTCCACTGTTACCTGAGCTCACCTGGTGCATTGTGGGAGACGTCCGGGCTGAAGCCGTATTAGACAGACCGTTGCTTTATAAACTGACTGAACTCATTGTGTACTTGTAGAACGCGGTGCCAGCTGTCAGAACGGGTGCAGGATGGCTTGTTCTGGGTTCCACAGCAGAACGTCTTCTCATAGACCAGCTGGTTTACAGAGAACCTGACTGAAGGTCAACACGTCTGAAACCGTCTCCTGCTTCCAAGGACAGTTTAACCACAAGTCCTGAGCCCAGCGCTCCTCTAGCTCACCTCACAAGGTGACAGCCTGTTGTTTATGACTCTGATCAGAGAACCAGTCCGACCCAGTCTGCAGCTGAACTCCATCTGGATCAGGTTTTGAGGGAAACATATCTCCTGCTGGATTAAGTTTGCTGGTGACGCATCAGATACGGTTCTAATAAACCATCCTCCGTTCGTTTCACTGCTTCACCCTCTTTTCAGCCAATCATCATACATGAGACTTATCACCACGGCAACCCAGGAAGTGCAGGAAAAGCTTCAGACGGGTAGAGAACGGGTCATATTATAACCCAAACCCAAACCCAACCAGAACACGAACAACAAGGTCTGATGTTGCTCGCAGAACCAGATCCAGTGGTACCAACTCCTCCATCTTCTCATCCGGCCTCTTCCCTCAGACCGGAGCTCTCTGAAACACTTCTACCAGAACCAGAACCAGCAGAGAAACCTGCTCAACATCTGGACTGGTTCTGTGGAAATACTCTGACCAGTCAAACGTCCCTCTGGTTCAGAACTTTTCTGCAGGTTTTAACTGCATTTGATATTTTTTACAGTGTGAACACACACACTCACACACTCACACACTCACACACACACACACACACACACACACACACACACACACACACACACACACACCTCAGGACACATGTTTGAAGAATTGAAAAATACACCTTAATGGAAACACAACACCAACCGCTGACCCCTCCCCCAACACAACAACCTGGTCTCACAAACACACACTCGCACACACACACACTCGCGCGCACACACACACACACAGTGTAGCAGCATGTTAAGGTGTGTGTGTTGTGTGTGTGTTGTCTCACCATGCTGTGTGTGTTGTGTGT